CTCCCTCCGTCCCATTTTACCTGTCTTACTTTCCTTTTTGGGTTGTCCCAAAATAAGTGTCACCTTTCCCTTTTTGGAAAGAAACATGTGGTTCACAACATTTCACTTTACTATACTCAAATCTCAACCACAACTTTTACCTTTTCAACCACTTCATTAAAAATTGTGCCAAAACCAAATAAGACACATAAAATGGGACGGAGGTAGTATATAGATATTGTTGAATATTTTTTTGACGGGTGCTCCATACATAGGTCATTCCTGAGAGAATGCAAGACTGCTCTTATTTTCAGCAAGGTATGTATTGCATCATTACAACTTGGAATTATATTAAATCAATAAGGTCGTAATATTTACTAACAAGTAATTTTGACAGGATTATGCTCTAATGAGAATTGTCCTTATAGACACGTAAATGTGAATCCCAATTCATCTGTCTGTGAAGGTTTTCTCAGGGGTTACTGTTCTGACGGAGATGAGGTATTTTTGTTTAATTTCTGTTTCCAGCTACATATTGACTTCTACATATTGTATAACATGGTCATTTTATCAGTTTAGGTCTTGATGATGGACAGAGTGAAGAATATAGGTGGAAAAGGGGATGAAATTTTGCCAAAATATCATAGTACAAATGGGAGAATTTGATTTTTCACCCCACTTTTTGGGTGATATTGGATTTTGCACCCCATTTTAAAAACAACTTTGACTTTGCACCCTATCATATGATATTTGTGAAGGAAAATTTCTTAATGGGGTGCAAAATCAAAGTTTTTTAAAAATGGGGTGCAAAGTCCAATATCATCCAAAATGTGGGGTGCAAAGTCAAATTCCCCCTAAAAATGGTTAACAATGTATTTCATCAGGGCGGTTTGGGAGAAAATAGAGTTATTGAAGGGATTTTATTTGTTTAACTAATCCTAAAGCTAGCGTTTTCATATTAAGATGATAATGATTCGTAGATTAAAAATTGGGCTGTATACATCCATTACTCCCTCCATCCCATGGTTTTCTTCATGCTTTCCATTTTGGGTTCTTACAAAATTTCCTCTTTTCATTAAGTAAAGAATTGTTGGTGTTGTTCCCTTCTTTTTCAAATAAACATCAACCAAATGATTTTCTTTTCTTTAAGCATGCAAAAAGAGGGAGGGGGGGGGGATTATGGGTGTGGTGCAGTGGTGGACTATCGTATATTCCTGTGTGTATCATCTTGCTGGTAGTTAATACACTTCAAGTTCAGCTGTACACAAGAATTAAGCAGTCACCTGGTCTCATTTTTATATGTTGGTTTTGAGACACTTGATTGCTTCCGTTATCTTAGTTCTATGATAACTGTTCGATTTCTTTTGTTTCAACTCTTTCTCCAATGTGGTAGATGAAGTTGTTTACAAGGACTGCCACCTGCAAATCACTCTGCTCTCTCCATCCTCTCTTCCTCTTCCACTGCCTATGACCTCCCTATTTATCTTTATGTGCACACATTGTGTGTGTGTGTGTCCTTTCACAGAAACACACAACCTCACTAATACTATAACCCGTGAAATGGATTGTATGTCTAAACTTTGCAGTGCCAGAGGAAACACAGTTATGTGTGCCCTAGTTTTGAAGCAACTGGAGATTGCCCTCAAGGTTCCAAGTGCAAACTTCACCACCCGAAAATCAAAAGTAAGAGAAGAAAATGGAGAGGAGCTTCTTCCAATGAAAAGAAGAACGACCGGGGTCGTTATTTTGGTTCTCCACATATTGATCTCACCGAGTGTGTACAAGCCTTATCAGGCAAGTCTTCTGTGGAGGGTGATGAAGGAGATTCTTTTTTCAAACAAGGGAGGTCCGTTGAGTATATTAGCTTAGGTGTTGTTGACAGTGTTAAGGAAGGTGAAGATATGCTGATTATTGATCAGGTTAATGAGGAAACATGTGAGAGGGAGGGCGGTGTCTGCTCACCTTTTTCTCAAATAGCTGATTTTGATGAGCTTATCAAGCCCATTCGGTTACTCAATCAGGGGAGGAACAGAACGAGAGATTCATCTATTGACAGCCCGAGTGAGTTGAGCACAAGTTATGTTTCAGAAGAGTCTCATTGTTGCAAGTGAAGGCTTTAGTTTATTTGTATTTTAGGTTTAGTTTTCAGAACAATTGTTTTGTTTGTAGAATTGTAGGTAGGTTTAGTTAGTATTTAGGTCTAGGTTTTAGGATTAGGTCAAGGTTTGGTTGAGCTTTTTTATCAACTTGTCATTTGAATCAAGACAAAACAATATTATTGGTCATTCTTAGCGAGTCCAATCTTATTTTTACTTGTATTGACCGAGGGAGTTCAAAATTCAAATGTGTTGAGGGTATCTATGTATCTCTTCCAATTTAAAAATTTAAAATATGCGTCAAACTTCTTTGTGCTGTAATTATTCATGCGCAGAACCCCTTCTATGAATGAATTAATTATAAAAAAAAAAGTAAAATGATTAGCATTTTTGTATAACCTAAAGATTTTAACAAATCATAACCCGTTTTATGATTATGCATATTAAATCATAATATTAAAAAATGATTTCGAAATTGTTAAATTTCTTCATAAAGGGGGTTCTACGTTGAATTTCTATATCACCAAGAGTTTAGTACGTTAAACCTTGAGTTAAATAGTTGAATGATACTTATAACCATTGGCGGAGCTAGGCTAATTGACACCACTAAAACATATATTTATACCCGTGTTTACGTGTACAAATTGAAACATTCAAATGTCACCACATCTGTTCAAATATACGTGTTTACGTGTACATTTATGTAATTATCGTGATATTCACAAATCTAATATTCATAACTTTGATTAAGAAAGTGCTCAAACTTCATCTTTTATTAATTTTGTGATTTTTCAAAATTACAAATTTAACTCAATCTCCATACTTTTATATACTTGAATTAAACTATTTAATTTTTATTAATTATTTTATTGTATTTATCCCATGAAATAGTAAGAACTTTAATCAAATCTTAAAATATAAATCTTGTATAATCTAGAACTTAAAATTTTCAAACAAAAATGATAAAATTTAGGTCTAGGTTTTAGGATTAGGTCAAGGTTTGGTTGAGCTTTTTTATCAACTTGTCATTTGAATCAAGACAAAATAATATTATTGGTTATTCTTAGCGAGTCCAATCTTATTTTTACTTGTATTGACCAAGGGAGTTCAAATGTGTTGGGGTATCTATGTATCTCTTCACATTTAAAATATGCGTCAAACTTCATTGTGCTATAATTATTCATGCGCAGAACCTCTTCTACGAACGAATTAATTATAAAAAAAGTAAAATGATTAGCATTTTTGTATAACCTAAAGATTTTAACAAATCATAACCCGTTTTATGATTATGCATATTAAATTATAATATTAAAAAATGATTTCCAAATTGTTAAATTTCTTCATAAAGGGGTTCTGTGTTGAATTTCTATATCACAGAGTTTAGTGCGTTAAACCTTGAGTTAAATAGTTGAATGAAACTTATACCCATTGGCGGAGCTAGGCTAATTGACACCACTAAAAAATATATTTATACCCGTGTTTAGGTGTACAAATTGAAACATTCAAATGTCACAACATCTATTCAAATATACATGTTTATTTTGGTCATATTTATGCAATTATTTCTTTAAAGTATTATTTGCGTATTATATTCGTAATTATCGTGATATTCACAAATCTAATATTCATAACTTTGATTAAGAAAGGACTCAAACTTCATCTTTTATTAATTTTGTGATTTTTCAAAATTACAAATTTAACTCAATCTCAATACTTTTATATACTTGAATTAAACTATTTAATTTTTATTAATTATTTTATTGTATTTATCCCACGAAATAACAAGAACTTTAATCAAATCTTAAAATATAAATCTTGTATAATCTGGAACTTAAAATTTTCAAAAAAAAAAATTAATATAAAATGATATTCTAACTTGTCAGTGAATTAAATACTCCATATATTTGTGTTTTTATAGAAGTTGCTAAAGTAATTCAATCACTAATATTTATTGCTTAATAAAATCATCTCTTACCAAGGAAACTTTGAACTATTTTTTACCTTTCTAGTTGTCTTTCATATTTTATGCACTATAATGCAATTTATTATATAGTACAAATATGGTTTTATATATAAAAAATTAAGTAATGCGAATTTTCCAACTAAAAGTTAGAAAGAAATGAATAAAATGAAATAGAAATAAGTATTTGTATATTAATATTTTATAATTAATCATTTGAAAATGTAAATGTGAGAAAAGTTGAAATTTGAGTCTTTTTTAAAAAAGTAAAAGAGTAAGATAGATTTGTGAATTTGATAATAGTTGTGGATAAATTAGACTAATAATCTATATTTTTAAAAGTGGAAATATATAACGTGAAATAATAAACACCACTTCGAAGTTTTAGAGATAAATTATTGAATGTGTTGGGAATCAAATGGTTTATTGTTATTTCGCATTGGATCCATAAGTTTCGAAAATACTTATATTTTTTGTCAGGTGAATAATGTATATGAAATCAATGTTAATAATGTATATCAAATCAATATAGAATGAATGATTGGATCATTTGTACATATTAAGCTAATTAAAAAGTTTCTAAGGGTATGTTTGCAAAAAATTAAAATTAAGTGATTTAGAGTTTTTGTCTTAAAAAAGTTGAAAAAAATGTTTTCAAGTGACAACTTGTACTTACATTAAATACTTTTAACCTAAAAGCTGAAATCTATTTTTTAATTTTTCTATTATACTCCGTACAAAAAACATCTATTTACCAAACACTACCAACTTTTACGTTTCAACTTTTACTGTGAACTATGAAGCACCTTTTCCAAAATCACAAAGGTAATTTTTTTAAAAACAAAAACAATTGCAAACACTCCCAAAGCATTTAATAGAAAACTTCAACATGGTCACCTTTGTCAGTTAAATACTAAGGCCAAAGATTCAAATAGTTAATTTATATTTTATATAATAATACTTATTACGTAGCAATATATTTATATTATTATTACTTAAATTTGTTGATACCAAGTGTTGGTCCATATTTGTCCGACCGAATTGATAAAATTCCTTAACAAAAAGCCAAACACGATGGATGAAATAGCTGCAAATGCTTATCAACACCGATTTGGGCCATATTAGTTTTATTGCTTTTTTTCAGATACACAAGACTACAGGAGCGTGGGATAACAAGGAAAACAAGGAATAGCCTTTTGCAGTTTCAAGGCCACTATTAATGCAAAAAGCATTCTCCCCACTCGACATTTTCCTCGCAACTAAAGCAAAAATTTATACGTTAAGGGTGAAACATCTAGCCAAATCCAGGAATAACGGCAAGACATGTGGGATCGTTCCAAGGCTTGAATGCTCCTTCCTGAGTAATATTCTGCAAAAAATGAACCGACTTTTAAGCATTAGTTGCCAATTCTTCTGCCTAATTCGGTATTCAGGTTGCAATTGAAAAAGTTTGTTGAAAATTGCAGTGAGAATGTATTTTAAAGGTTATAATTGTTTGGCATTGAGGTTTTCAAAGGAAATATTTAACCTCTTTCCAAAACACAAGTTTGTCAAAAGTGATTATGATTTCCAAATGTTTGAAATCAAGAGGCCGTTTGGCAACACTGTTTTTCGGCTTATCAGACTTATCAGTCAACTTTTTTACAAAACATATAATTTTTGCTTTCGCGCACTGAATTGTGTAATAAGCAGAAAAAGTAAGGTCGGAGTTACTTTTCTGGTTGTATTGGCTGAAGTTACTGTAGATGACCATTTTAGCTATTTTACATATAATTTTTTCTTTATTTTATTGATAAAATATATTTTAAAAATAATTTTTTCTTAAATCAGCAGAATCAGTCAATGCAACCACTTCAGCCACAACTTCATACATTTCAACAGAGTCGGCCAAAACAGCCGATTTTGATACTTCCAAACGGGCTCCAAAAGTGATTATGATTTCCAAATGTTTGAAATCAGCGTTTGGATAACCCATGATGTGTTCGGGACGGAATGAGGACAGAAACAATAGGCTTTTTCCTCAACACACGCGCAGTCCCAAATGGGGAGTTCAAGTGTTGGATTTATGCTAAACTTTTATATGAGATGACTCATACAAAAGCAAAAGCTAACTTCATACTTTCTTAATGATTCATTCTGTGCATTCTATTACCAGAGTTCCACAAGAAAAACTACTCACCTGTAGCCAAAAGAAAAACCCGCGCAAGATGTTCAACGTTTTATATTTGTTAGAGCTTGCTTGTTCAAATTTGTTGTTGAAATCTGCATTATCAGGAAAAGGTATCAGGAAAAAAAATGGACGGGAGGAAAAGATAACATGCATCAAGCAAGGAAGACATCTAAAATCTTCCAAAAAAGTAGTTCACTATTTTCACATCAAGGTCCATTTATTATGTATTTTTAATGAAGAAGGTATTAACTTCCTCAAAAGATTTTAGTATAAGAGAATAACGAGGACATAAGATGTATTAGAAGGGTACATATATAAACTACGGAGTAGTAGAAAAAGAGGAGAGAACGAGTATCAATAAGATAAAAAGCAATTTCAAAAAACAAAAACCTCAACATTACATCCAATGATGTTAAACTCGAGACCAGAGAACGGATAGAAAGGGACTTAAAATATCATAACTCATGGATCGTAAGATCCTAGAGTAAAAGGTATTATGTAAAATTTATAATAAACACCTCCATATAATAATAATAATGATAAATTAATTTTAAAATTCTTATAATTCATTCAAAATAATAATTATTAGTTCATTCTTAAATAACACACCATCATGGATATAGAGTAAATGACTTAAACAATCAAATAAAAACAAAGGTATGAAGATTGGCAAAGAAAAGTACGGAGTACTTTTCAATAGAACTAATTGAAGTGGTTGGAGTTGAATGCTGAAATGTTAATTTGCAGTTCCGACACAAACCTTGGTGGTGCTTGATGAGTTGCTATTTCTTTTTTATTTTTTCTTATTTCTAAAATAACATTCCTTTTATTTTGTTTCGTATGTAAGTTTATATGGATTGCTTCTTTCTCTTTTTCCTTTTTCATAAACTTCGTTGTGATGCCAACGCTTCATGCTTAACTTTTCTTTTTCCCCTTCGGACCTACATTTCAAAGATCTGACCTTACTTTCCTATTATAAGCACAACCTGGATAGATGGAGTACATTCTACGCGTTAGATCAAATGATCTTACAAGTTACAAGTTGACTCACGATCTTAACGACAATGATTAAATGACAAAATCCGTCAAGTTTATTTCATCCGAGAAGTAAAGTGACACCCCCAAACCATATGGTAGATACAATCAAGACGATTACTTAACCCTGGACAAATGTTTGCACAACATAAAAAATTACCTTCAAAATAGTCAAGATAAGATTTTCCATTCCTATCTAACGGGCAATACTTATCTCTCCCATGCCGTAACTCCAAATTTCTTTCCACTGGTTTTTGGACTTTGACGTCATGCAAAAGCTTTTCATATTCCGTTTGGTCAAAGGGTCTCTTGAGGAAAGTGATGACCTTCTGTCTAAATTCAGAGTCCTCGTCTTTGTACACAGGCTCAAATGCGTTTCCTGCCTGAAAATTATTACAAAAGGCACTAAATTTTAAAAAGTTTCCATTAACTGAAAACGAACACAATAGAAATCTGCCATTGGAGAAATATACAACCTCACAGTAATGCACTTGAGGGGAAAATGGATGAGATCTTCCTGCATTAGAGAACTTGGAATAATCTATTTCAACAACCTCATCATCCCCAGAATCATCATAATCATTTTCAACAGCATGTTTATTTGGAGACACAGTCTTCGATGCATTCCCTTCACAGTGCAGTTTCATAGCTTGCAGGAGAAGAGCATAATCTTTATCTACATAATTTTCTTCAGGTATGGTTTGTGAAGTTTTCTGTATTTTGATTGAGTTGCTCCGGGTAATACGCCTCTGTTGGTTCTTATGAATAGCTCTTTCTCCCTTAGGAAGGGGAGTAAATGGTTGGACCATTTCATCCTCCTTGGTGTTTGGAACATCAGAACTTCCCAGGCCACCCTTCTTCACACCATTTGACATTTTCCCCTTCACATTCTTCCAATAGTTTCCTTCTACTTTATCTCCTTTCCTCCCCTTCTTCAGTGCACACGTGAGATCGTCATTTCGATCAGCGCTGCAGTTCCCTTCTTTTTCATAGTTTATGAACGTGCGCACTCCATTAGCTTCAAATGCAGTCGCATAAGACACCCCATCACATTTAATACTATTCAAAAACATCACATAGTCAGGGTCATAATCTTTATTGCCATTTGCGTCATCTTTATTATGGTCTGGATTATATCCCCTTTCAGCATCACCTTCTTGATGACTGCCATATCTGATTTCTAAATAACGCTTGTAATCTCCGTCGATCATGACCTCCTCAAACTTGGAACCTTCTGAATCATACTCCCTGTTCTTCACTGTGCTTGAGAGACTATTATTTTCGTCCCACTCATCGCTAGAACTCCCTTCCTTCTCATAGTCAATAAACGTGAGTAATCCGTTCTCTTCAAGTGTGGTCACGTATGAATTGTTTCCTTTTTCTTTAGTGCTTTTTAAAAACAGGACATAGTCAGGGTCATAATCTGTATTGCCATTTGCATCATGTTTATTATGGTCTGAATTATATCCCCTTTCAGCATCGCCTTCTTGATGACTGCCATATCTGATATTTAAATAACGCTTGTAATCTCCGTCGATCGTGATCTCCTCCTCAAACTTGAAACCTTCTGAATCATGCTTCCTGTTCTTCACTTTGCTTGAGAGATTATTATTTTCATCCGACTCATCGCTAGAACTCCCTTCCTTCTCATAGTCAATAAACGTGAGTAATCCGTTCTCCTCAAGTGTAGACACATATGAATTGTTTCCTTTTTCTAAATAACGCTTATGATCTCCGTAATCTCCGTCGATCGTGATCTCCTCCTCAAACTTGGAACCTTCTGAATCATGCTTCCTGTTCTTCACTTTGCTTGACAGATTACCATTTTCATCCCACTCATCGCTAGAACTCCCTTCCTTCTCATAGTCAATAAATGTGACTAATCCGTTCTCTTCAAGTGTGGTCAGGTATGAATTGATTCCTTTCTGTTTAGTGTTATTTAAAAACATGACATACTGAGGGTCAAAATCATCATTGTCATCGTCAACAGGACGACTGTCACTCCTTTCAGGGCTTCTTCCTCTTTCAGGGCTGCTGTATTTGATTTCTAAGTAGGACAGATAATCTGTATCTTCAAAATGTGACCTCCCATACAGGTTCCTTACACGCGCAGTCATTGTCTTGCAGAATATATATATATATATAGGCAATTCTCAGGACATAAACCCTATGTTTTCCTCACAGGTGATTGATTCACAAATTATATTGTCACATGCATTTAGAGAGAGTTCCTCAATTCCTACCACCAGCTTTAAAAACAAATAATCTAGCTAATTGTGAGTTGCAAAAAAACGAGCACCTATGTCGGCAGAGGGAAAGAAGTAGAGCTTAAGTCGGCGGAATGCGTCACCTGAAAGTCGCCGGAGAAAAGGAGGTCGGCGGGTAGCAATTTATGTGTCTGAGAGAGTGTAATGTGTTTCCGGGGAATTGAAGAGTGAGGGCAGTGACGAAGAAGAAAAGATTTCAACGTATTTGTCGTTCTGATAATCAGTGATTACATCCGACTGGCTTGCGCTGCTTCTGTACATGGGCTTTGCTTAAGAAAGTAAAAAAGTACAATAATGGCTACAGGTAGGTTACACCCAGGCGAGCGGTACACCCTATATAAATCACTCCTATTTTTTACTTTCCCTTCTCTCTCCTCTTCTATCATACCAATAGACTATTTCTTTTTTCCCTTTTTCTTTCTCATTCATCGTCATGTTTGACTAACGATAAAACAAGCAGATCTCTGTTCGCACTCAAATTATTTTTAGAAAAAAATATATATATTCAGAAACTACATTAAAAACTTTATAAAATTGCAAAAACAAGAATCAAATTTGATAAAAAATTAATTTATAAAGTAAGAGATTAAGAGTGATTTGTGTTGACCAAGTGAATAATGTCTGGGATAATCTTTGCGGGACGGAGGGAATACCTTTTATTCACCATCATCTTCCATCATCATTTTCACTGAAAAATTATTATTTGAGAATAACAGGAAATTCACCGGAAAGTCACAGAAAAAATAGAGATGTTGGAATTTTTGTCTATATGGTATATAAATATTTGCAGTATCATGCTAAATAATGATACATATTGTCTTTAATAAAAAATGAAATTGAAAACTAGTGACATTCTACAAAATTTCGGCATAGACAAAAAATGTACGTATAAAGACACCGATTTTCTTTCAGTGTCTGTGCGCAGACAAAAAAAGTTACAAAAAGTCAGGGTTAGATTATATATGCATAGACACTTTTTGTGTACACTCAGGATGTTTTTACTTGGACTGTAATTTGCTGGTCTGGTCTGGTCTGGTCTGGTCTGGTCTGGTCTGGTTTGGTCTGGTCTGGTCTGGTCTGGTCTGGTCTGTTTTGGTCTGGTCTGGTCTGGTCTGGTCTGTTTTGGTCTGGTCTGGTCTGGTCTGGTCTGGTCTGATTTTTTTTTTTTTAATTTTTTTTGCATAAAGATTTTATTTTTGATATATATTATAATCCATAAATAAATATATTTTATTCATTTATAATTAAAAATAATAATATTCCTTCCAAATTATCGAAAATTGGTATCGTTTTACTTGGATTTATTTCAATCCCAGACCGAAGCAGATCAGACCAGATTATAAAAATACAGAACAACTCAAACTAGACCAGATCATATCAGTGTACACTAGACTAATCCAAATAAAAACAGGACAAAAGATAAAATTAGGCAATTGGCCCAGTATACTCGTATATATAAATTATTGCAATTGGCCGTAGAAGAGTTGCCGCAGACGAACCCCAGCAACTCCAGGAAGCAGACGACTTAGCAGGTGATTCTGCTCTCTTCTCGTCACATCGTCTGGCTTAAGTGTTTTAGTATTTTTATTTAAGTTTTATAGTTATATATAATATATAATTATATATATCAATATACAGTCATATACATGTCTAGAATTAAATTAAAGGATACGGATGTTCAAGTAGAAGGAAAAGGTCTCGCATGAGCGCCGGTTTGAATTAGATCTCATGCGTTAGTTCATTATTTATTATTGAAAACTATGATTTTTAGAAAAAGTGTTATTATTTAATACTATTTCCTTTTACACAAATTAATATTGTCAATATTAATTAATTATTTGTTTTAAGTTCATTACCTTTCGTTATTATTTATCAGTCAATATATAAATTTATGAAAATAATAATTTTCTAATTAATTTACCATTAATTATTGATTGTGGGTTTCAATTCGAAGTTATATACAATTTAGTTATAATTATGTATTATTTTACTATCAATTATAGACAATGTCAAAGAGGACACCTTGGAATGACACCACTACAACTACGAGCCCGTTTGGTAGCATCAAAATCGGCTGTTTTGGCTGATTCTGCTGAAATTTATGATATTCTGGCTGGAGTGGCTGTTTTGGCTGATTCTGCTGATTTAAGAAAAAAATATTTTAAAATTATATTTAATTAATAAATTAAATAAAAAATTATATGTAAAAATAGCTAAAATGGTCCTCTACAGTAACTTCAGCCAATACAGCCAGAAAAGTAACTCCAACCTTACTTTTTCGGCTTATTACACAAATCAGTGCGCGGAAGTAAAAGTTACATGTTTGGTGAAAAAGCTGGCTGATAAGCCTGATAAGCCGAAAACAGAGTTCTCCAAACGGGCTCTACATTTTTGAAGATTTGTGCTGAAGAAAAAGCAAAAGGGAATACTAAATATGATTGGAATACATTATCTTTTACAAACATCTCGTGTTATCGTTGATATGACATGTGTTTACCATTTGTTTTAATGTGAATTGGAATTCATTATTTTACTTGTGTAGAATGAATGTTGAAGTTAGACGGTCATGTCTAATTATTGCATTAGAAGAGCTCAGATCATTACTAGAAGATGATGAACAAAAGAAGACTAGGATACCAATGAGAGTGGGTGGAGAAACAGGAGGTGAATATATACATAGAATGTTGAATGGTCATCCTGGATTGTGTAAAGAGCAATTAAGGTTGACGAGAGAAATGTTCATCCACCTTGTGAATATTATGGTTGAAAGAAATTTATTGAAAGACAGCAGATTCATTCATGTGGCAGAGCAAATTGGAATTGGTCTCTATATATTGGCCAAGGGAGCTTCTTACACAGATGCAGCTGATGTTTTTAAGCATTCTTTGAGAACCATATGCAAATATTTTAATCTAGTATTGCATGCCTTGGTTGAGTTATCTTTTGACATAATTCGACCACATCACAATTTGTTGGACGTCCACACCATAGTTTTCAACAGTTCCTTATATTGGCCGTATTTCAAGGTATATTTATGAATTATTCATCGTTTCTTAAAAGTCAATGAAAAATAATTTATTTTTGTATATGTGTTAGACTTTATTTATGCTTTTTATTTATTGTATTAGGATTCAGTTGGAGCATTAGATGGTACTCACATAGAAGCAGTTATATCAGATGCAAAGGGGGTGCCGTTTCGAGGACGCAGAGGAAGCAAAACCTGGAATGTCTTAGCATGTTGTTCATTTGATAAACTATTCACGTTTGTCAATATTGGCTGGGAAGGAAGCGCTCATGACGTAAGAGTGTGGGTTGATTCCTTAATGCAATCAAAATATCATTTTCCTCATCCCCCACCAGGTATAAAATACAAATAAATTTATTATAATGTGTTTATGTAAATATAAAATAGTATCATTTTAACAAAGTCAATTTAAAATGTAGGTAAATATTACTTAGTAGATTCAGGATATCCAAACACACTTGGATATTTAGCTCCATTTGATGATGCGGGAATGAGGAAACACGTGCCAGAATTTCGTGGCGGTGGTAAACCAAGAGGAGTAATGGAACATTTTAATTATCGCCACTCATCCCTGAGAACTACCATTGAAAGAGCATTTTCGCATCTGAAGAAAAGGTGGAAGATACTTCACAATATGCCCAAAATGAAAGAAGAGCATCAACAAGCAATTATTTTCTCTACTTTTACACTTCATAATTTTATCAGCATGTGCAAAATGGGAATCCCAATTTATGAACATGAAGGGAATGGAGAAGGCATGGTTGATTCAAATATGTTCAACAATGGGCGAAAAGAAGCTATGAACAATGTTCGCGTGGAAATTGCGAAACAAATTTGGGAAGACGTTCAGAAACCCAGAGCAACGCATGCATGATGATATTTATTATTTTATAGTACTTTTTTTTGTTCTAAAAAGATTTATAGTTTACCCATTATTCATACATTTTTTTATTGTTATTGTTATTGTTATTGTTATTGTTATTGTTATTGTTATTGTTATTGTTATTGTTATTGTTATTGTTATTGTTATTGTTATTAGGGGTGCGCACCGGTTCAAAACTGGACCGGACCGTACCAAATCGGACCGGATGTATTCCAGTTTTTACCCGGAACCGAATCGGTTTATCCGGTTCAAAACCGGAACCGAACCGGTTCATCCGGCTCAAAACCAAATCAGACCAAACCAGACCAAAACAAACCAGACCAGACCAGACTAGACCAGACCAGCAAATTACAGTCCAAGTAAAAACATCCTAATACTACTACTACTACTACTAATAATAATAATAATAATAATAAAAATAATAATAATAATAATAATAATAATAGTAATAATAATAATAATAATAATAATAATAATAATAATAATAATAATAATAATAATAATAATAATAATAATAATAATAATAATAATAATAATAATAATAATAATAATAATAATAATAATAATAATAATAATAATAATAATAATAATAATAATAATAATAATAATAATAATAATAATAATAATAATAATAATAATAATAATAATAATAATAATAATAATAATAATAATAATAATAATAATAATAATAATAATAATAATAATAATAATAATAATAATAATAATAATAATAATAATAATAATAATAATAATAATAATAATAATAAAATATTGTCTGGTCTGGTCTGGTCTGGTCTGGTCTGGTCTGGTCTGGTCTGGTCTGGTCTGGTCTGGTCTGGTCTGTTTTAGTCTGGTCTGGTCTGGTCTGTTTTGGTCTGGTCTGTTTTGGTCTGGTCTGGTCTGGTCTGGTCTGGTCTGGTCTGGGACGAATTACAGTCCAAGTAAAAACAACCTCACAACTAACAATTAATGTCTATGTACATAGACATTGGTTCTCATGCAACCACCCTGACATTACTGCAGAAAAAGTACGCTAATCAATGTGATTTACACGCAAATCAATGTCCACATACACATACATTAGTTGCCTGTGTCACTATGTGTAACTTTTTTATTTGTGTAACTAGTATAGTACCCGTGCATACGCACGGGAGAAAGGAGTTGATGCATATATTTTTACCCACGATCTAATTAAGTATTAAAATAAAAATAACTTTTTGGGAGTCTATATTTTCGAGAAATAAGAGTAATTACAATAAGCTAATATCATAAAGTATAAGTCATACCATAAATATTCAATAAAGAGTATATTAGAAAAAATTAATTGACACCACTCATTAGAATTTGTTATCCATTAATTTTCATTATTAAAATAATTTTAAAATCAAACACTATTCTAAAATAGTGAGTACAATACGTAAATGACATAAAGTTTAAGTGAATACAATTAGTGCTAATATATTAGAGAGAGAAAATTTTCCTACTCAATTGTTAGCCGACTTATTTAATGAGTACTTAAAAGGATTACATATGAGAGAAAATTATATCGCTCAATTGTTAGCCGGATTATCTTATACCTAAAAGCACTATATATGAGAGAAAGAATTAGCATGCTCAGTTGTTAGCCGAATTATCATACACTTAAAAAAAAGCTACATATGACAGAGAAAGTTCCTCCGCTCAATTGTTAGAAAATTATTTTATTATCTCCTCATAACTAAAATCACTACATATGAGAGAGCAAATTCTCCCGTTCAATTATTAGCTAGGCAGTTTATCTTTTACCTAAAAGCAATATATATGAGAGAATAAAATTTTCCCTGCTCAATTGTTTGCCGGATTATTTATACTTAAAAGAGAGAAAAAGTTCTTACGCTCAATTGTTTTATTTTGGCAAAACTTTCTAACCTATTATAGTCTCTGTTATAACTTCCGCTCAATTGTAAGAAAGTTTATTTTCTTATCTCCTTATATCATATACCTAAAAACACTACATGTGAGAGAGAAAATTATCTTGCTCAATTGTTAGCAAGCTTATCTTCTAATCATGTAATCATATCCAAAAGTACTACATATGAGAGATAAAATTATCCCGTTCGATTCCCCTGTTCAATTGTTAGCAAATTTATCTTCTAATATCTAAAAGCACTACATAAGATAGAGAAAATTTCCCCGCTCAATTAAGAGTAAGCTTATCTAGTTTCTTATACTTAAAATCACTACATATGAGAGAGAAAATTCACCCGCTAATTTGGCAGTCGGTTTATTTTATACCTAAAAGCACTATATACTACAGGGAAAATTATCTCCCTCAATTGTTAGCAATCTTATTTATCTTCTAATAACTAAAAGCACTACACATGAGAGAGAACATTATTCCGCTCAATTCCTTTGCCAATTCCTCTGCTCAATTGTTAGTAAGATTATCTTATTATCTTCTAATACCTAGAAGCACTACACATGAGAGAAAATTATTCCGCTCAATTCCTCTGCTCAATTGTTAGTAAGATTATCTTATAATCTTCTTATACCTAAAACTACTACATATGAGAGAGAGAACTCTCCCGCTCAATTGTTAGCCGTCGTATCTTATACCTAAAAGAATACATATGAGAGAGGAAATTTTTCCCCTCAATTGTTAGCCGGCTTGAAAAGGGGTTTTTAAAAATGTGTAATTGTTGTTTGTGTAGAGGAGATCAAAATAGGTTGAACAACAAATTTATTACTTTAAAAAAGAAATGACAAAGTTTTCAGGTCAAAGAAAAAATAAAAGTTGTTTACGGAGTATATAAATAGAAGAATAGATGTGTGGTATGACTTTCGTTGAGTAACTTTAATACACCATGTGACATTTATAAACCATTTTACAATGACAATATTAGTATTTACACTACCATTTTATAAAAAAAATAGAGAAACAATGAAAACATTACAACACTTAGAAGAAAATGGTGTTTACTACACATTGGACATCTTCTTCATTTAGAATGTTTTTTAGAGTCCATTTGGTAAACTCAAATTGCCTGAATCTATCGCAAATGATGAAGTTGTGACTGAATTGGCCGAATCTGCTGAATTATGGAAAATTTGTATTTTAAAATATATTCTCATTATAAAATAAAATAAAAGTATATGAAAAGTAGTTAAAATGACCATCTAAAGTAACTTCAGACATTCAGCAAAAAATTAACTTCAACCCTAATCATTCCGATTAGGGAAACATAATTAAAATACCCCAAACTTTGAAGGGGTGTGAGATAAACACCCCAAACTTTCATAAGTGATTTAAATACCCCGAACTTTTTACAAAAAGTTATTTTAACACCGTGATCATGTATGATTTATTTCAAAAATATAAATTTATGGTGTTAATTGCATAATTTAAAATAGCAAATTGAAAATGTTGCAATTATATGGATTGGAAGGGTTAATACTATTTATTTCATAATGTTAGTTTAGAATGTTAATTGTATCTTCATGAATGGTAAAATATTTGTAATTATGAAATTAACACCAAAAAGTAGCATTTTTGAAAGAAATCAGGAAAAATGGAAACTAATAATCCAACCTTTTAGCGGTCTTCTTACAATAGTCCCACCTTTTCGTTATTCATGAATAATCCAACCTTTGCACCTCATCTTCATTCACCGGTCCCAGAAGTAAATAAAGGTTGGAGAATGAGATGTTGGTGTCTGAAAGTTTTAGACTGAAAAGTATAGCTAAAATGACCATCTAAAGTTATTTCATGCACCTTCTATTCCAAGTTATTTTCTTATCTTTGCAAAATATTATCTTTGTGAAAGGTGAGATTTATGGCATAATGGTCTGCAAAGATAAGAAAATAACTTGAAATAGCAGGTCATCAACCGGTCATGGACCAATGAATGAAGATGAGGTGCAAAGGTTGGATTATTCATGAATAACGAAAAGGTGGTACTATTGTAAGAAGACCGCTAAAAGGTTGAATTATTAGTTTCCATTTTCCCAAGAAATAATACATGAGTATGGTGCTAAAATAACTTTTTATATAAAATTTGGGGTATTTAAATTACATATGCAAGTTTGGGGTGCTTACCTCACACCCCTTGAAAGTTTGGGGTATTTTAATTATTTTCCCTTCCGATTATTATACAATCCAGCACATATACCAAAAAAATACTCCGGAGTATTAAAATTCATAAATTTTTCTTATCTTTCATATAACACCAATATTGTAGATTCAAAATTTAATTTTTATATTGAAGGTTTATTAAACACTATCTATTTTTCAACCTCGACACACATTATTTTGTATTAAATACAGAAATAATTCATAAATACGACCAAAATAAGGATAGTGGCAGATAAAATTGTGACTTATTAACTTTTGACAATTATAATTATTTCTTATCTTATATTAAAGTGATTATAAAAGCGTACTCATAGCCCAGTTAGTTACATTATATATTTTTATCACAAATATATACTTGAGAGATTTTTCCTTTAGAATGTTATTTAGAATATACATTGTTTCCATTTAGATTGTTATTTAGAATTTGTTTGGTAAAACGGAAAATTTCGGTTTGGTTTACGGTTTTTTCGGTTTTAAACCAAACCAAACCGAATTGATTCTCTGAAATCTTCATAGTTCTTCGAAGTCTTTGCTCAATCACTCGCTCCCAAAGTTTCATGGTGTGACTCATAAGCTTAATCCCTCGATAGTTGACACATTTTTGTACATCACCATTATTCTTGAATAAGGGGATAAGAGTACTCTTCCTTCAACTCGTTGGCATCTTATTGTTTCTCCAAATCATGTTGGAGAAACTTGTTAACCACTCGATACCTCTCTCTCCCAAATTTCTCCAAGCCTCGATCAGTATGCCATCTGGACCCACTGCTTTCTTCCGCCCCATCTTCCTCGAGCCTCTCTAACTTCCATTGTTTGATTCCTTCTCACAAAATCACGATTTACGATACAATTTGGTATGGTCAAATCACCGATATCTTGCATTTTGTCCCCGTTGAATAGAGTATCAAAGTATGACCACCTCTCTTTTATCTCTCCGTCCTCCATTAGTACCCTTTGATCGAAATCCTTCACACACTTAACTTTTCCGATATCTTGAGTCCCACAGTCACGAAGGCGAGCAAG